GCAGTCAGTTGATGCCATGGGAGGCAAAGAACTGTCAGTCAGCTTAATGATATTATGTACAGGATATTTTGAACTAGCATGGTGGACCTCACACAATTTGTGTTTTTATTTGTTGTATTCTTCTCTGCTGGCCATATACAGTACATGGAGATGATCCTACCAATTTTTTGACAGATTGATGATCTATGTGTCTTCTCTCTAACTGCAAATTTCCATCTTCAGATGACGTGCGGAATTTCACAAGTATAACGAAATATTGCCATAGAGTTAAAATCAGATTTTTTAAAAACACCATCGACAATGATCTGCTTTCCTGCCAAAATTCCACTGCTCAATCAGTTTCAGGAAGAGATAGGAAGAAATGTAATGACCTTGAATGAGTCTGTGCTGAACCAAAAATAGCACGTGATAAGGTATTTTTCCCTCTCACGGAGTGCACAATTTTTTTCTGTTTAAATTATTTTGAATTTACTGCCTCCTCACTTTGAGAAAATTCTATTTTACAATGCAATGCAAGTGTTTTTCTTATTTAAATAAAATGTATGAATTAATTTAAATTAAATCACAAAATTATTTTATATGATATAGAAATGATGTAGCTAATTACATAATTGATTTTACGTGAAGTTTTTCATTTTTTATAAGTGAATAAAGTGTTCTTTAATAAAAGAAATTATATAATTGTGTGCAAAATGGGCTTAAATAGACTTGGCCAAATATTACATAATGGAAAGGGAAAATGCAGAGACATTAATAAGTCAGAATAATGTCATAATTGGTCAGAGAATTACCTGTACTGACTTTGCATACTGGTTATATGAAACCAAAATTGTGGAATAAATCTATAATAATTTAATTAATTTTTAACAAAATTTGTAAAATTAAAGATCACATGGAATATAAAACAGAGACAAAACACTACCAACATAAATTCATCAATCAGGAAAATTCTTATCAACATAGAATTAAATACCCAATTTGGCATCAAAACCTTTCCTTTTTTGTATGTAGAAATTATTTATCTTTAAGGTTTAATATGAACAGTTCAAAGAATATTTCAGCTTGCTTTTAAGAAATTTTGGATTTTTGTAAAAAAACTATACTTATGGTTTTTTCCTCTGATGGTATGTTTCCATGTCATCACAAACATTTTCAACAATAATTCAATATTATTCAAGAATTATTATAATATTACACTATGCATATCATACCATCTTTTGATTTACAAGAAATTGTTCCATATTTTTATACTGAGCATATGATATTTTTATTTAAATTATTTTTGTTTTGGTTATAAAATATCTTTTCTTAAATTTCTTGCAATGAGTTATCTTTTTTGTAGCTTAAAATTCTTACATTATTTTCTTCTACAATATGTCAAAAAATATTTCTTGTCCTTGCAATGTTTCTGTTTTAAAACCCTTGAATTTTTTTAATTCTAAACAATAAATAAATAAATTTTATTGAATATTTTTATAGTAGTGTACAATCAAAGAAACCACAGGAAGAAAATCATTTTTTAGGTTTTCCTGCAATGCTTTAGATGTTTATAAGCAAAATTTAAAGATTAAAAATAGTAATAAATTACATTGATATATAGTTTTCTAACACTTCGTGAATTAAATTAGGCTAAGCTTTTTAGTAACAAACAAAAAAATTATATCTCAAAAAAGAATCACCCTCTGATGTTTTTCTCTTGTTTCAGAGTTTGAGACAAAATACTACAGATTAATATCTACAGTAGAGCATCGATTATCCGACTCAATTTGGGAGTGGGGTTGGTCGGATAATTGAAAAGACGAATAACCGAAAAGTATGAAAAAATCCATTATTAGTGTAGTATATTATTATATCCCGTGTAATTACTATATTAATATATTAGTATATTGCTATTAACCTACTTCGCGTTGAATTTTCCTCCATGTTAAGCCTATCAAATTTTTTTTAAAATAATAATCGTCGCTATTGTATCATTAAAAATTAGAAAATTAAGCCTCATTTAAATACTGGCTCCCTTTCATAGTCGATCCAGTGTTGCCAGCTAAAACACACAAAAATAATATTAAAGTAGCCAAGACATAGCCAAATATTGTAGCACCACATCACTAGCGGACATTTGAATTTGCCGACTAGAACGTGGTCGGTTAACTGAGGTGACGGTTAATCGGGGGTCGGATAATTGATGCTCTACTGTACTTTATGAAACCTCTTTGGTTTTAAGGACTGCATTAACTCTTATTGGCATGTATTCTATAAGTCTTGCAGTTACATTGTTATAAATTTTGGACCATTCTTTCTTACCCTTTATCTTCTTTCTTTGGAGCCAGATGTAATAATCTTAGTGAGTGCTTGTGATTACTCTCTTGTTAAAAATATATTTCTTTCCAGGATGCAGTTTATGAATTGGAGGAATATGCTTCTCCATGATCTCACGGCAGAGTTCTTTCTTTATGATACTACAGTAGAGCATTGTTTATCTGAATCAATTGGGACTGGGATTGTTTGGATAACCAATTATGTACGAAAAAATATATTAACGTATCCCATATTGAAATTTTTCTTCATTGTGTGTCGCTTCGTGTTGAATTTTTGTTGATGTTAAGCCTAACGAAAATTTTTATAATAATAATCATGGCTATTGTATCATTAAAAATTATTTCTTTATTTTCTACAAACAACATAAATATATTGAAAAATATAAAAACAAAAAAAAAAACTTTAGAAGTTAATCTAGTATCAAAAACGTTCAATTCAGCACGACACACAGTCCTCAGAAAAACACTATACAAAAGTGCCAGTGCTGCCAGCTAAAACACACACACACCAACAAAAAAATATTGGAATAGCCTAAGACATAGCCAAAGGTTGCAGCGCCACAGCGCTAGCGGAAATTTAAATTTGCCAACTGGAACGCTTTTGGTTGACCAGCTTTCGGATAAACAATGCTCTACTGTATTGATAAATTCAAGATTTCCTATACTTCACCAAGACATACAGTCCCAAATCATTTTGCTACTCCCTCCATGTTTATTATATAATTTTGACATGATTTTTCAAGGCTTCTCCCATGTGCCTCCAAACTCTGAAAATTTTATTTGGTTCAAGAAAAGATTCACTTTGATCTTATTTGAATACAAAACTTGTTTTCAGTAATTCACAGTGAAGTTTTGATATTACTTTGCCGATGCTAAGCATTACTTCACATGCACCTTTAAAAGCAGCAGCTTTTTTCTAGCATAACAAACTTGTTAGCATAGTTTCTAGCATGACAAAATTATGCAATTGATTTCTGATTGTTTGATTCATACATGTATTTGTTGGTAAAATATTATTTAATTTTGGAGCTGATAAAAATGGATTTTTCTTTGCTTCTTGTAGCATTTTTCTGTAAACTGAAGTTTTCATTGCCATCAAGAGATTGGTAAATTGACACAGTTCCTTAAGTAATGCTGTAATAAAGCTAATTTAAATTGGCTTTATATATTTATATTTATATATTTCCTTAAGTTTGGAAGAAGTTCTTTTTCTTTTTAGGTTCCTTGGGAAAGGTTCTTTTTCACATTATTTATAATAGTGTTCATATGAACACTATTTAACTGATGTATTTTTTGTACATTAATGTAATTTTGTTAGTTGAATAACTTTTTCTTTTGTGATAGCCTATTTCTACCTATCTGCATAAAATAATTTTGGTTAGTTCAAAATCTTAAAGCCAATATTAGATTCTACTTCTACTATACCTTAGTATAATTTTTTAAAATGTTAGTAAATTTATTTTCTTATACAGCATTTATGCAATTTTTTACAGGATGTGATTCTTTCTTTGACATAGGAATCTACATTTGCAAATTAAAAAATTAATCCTTTCTAAATTTATTGAGGTTAGAAAGTTATTTTAATATATTGATCATCTATAGTTTCTTTGCTTTGTACTTTTTCTGTCCTTATGCCAGTTAGTTGATTTGCATAAAAATATTCAGTTTTTACTCAGCAATGTAAGGAAAGAAACTTTTTTGACATGCTATATTTTATCACCATTGCTTGTGTAATGATTGTAAAAAATACATTGGTATATTGTATTTTAAATATGTAAGATGTTCTTTTAACTGTACTTTTAACTTTGGTTTTGTTTCAGCAATATAATAATTTGTGTTAGAATAAACTACTACTACTACTAAATTTTTTTATCCTACATTATTTTTATTTCCTTTCTTTTCATTTTATTTTCTATTTTATCTTGGGTGGGTACTAAGATAATGTTGTATTCAACACAAAAAGTAATTTATATGTCTACAGTTTTTTTTCAAATTGCAGCCCGATGACATATTTAGTTAAAAGGAAGATTTTCTGTAATTATAAATGCCTAAATTTGCTGAAGATAATCCAAAATATGGTTATATAAATTTGCTAAAGTGTAATTTTAGTTTTAATTTAGGGTTTTAGAAAAATTTTAGATTGTAATTCTATTGTGTATTTTATAGGCACTAAATACACAATGAAGGGCATTATATCCAAAAATGCATATTGCAGAGAAGTGCCTTTTATTTTTTTTGTAAAACTTATGAATTAAATTAAATTATTTTCAATAAAGAACTGCTCTGTAAGACAACATCTTAGTTCCTGAGTTGAAAGTTAAAAAAATAATAACACTAAAATATATTTTATTATTTGCATGTTTATAACATTTGGTATTGGGTATAACCCCATAGGCTTCGGACCATTGTATTTACAAATCAATATGAGAAACTTGAGTTGTGCACAATAATAAAACAGTGAAACAAATTGGAACATCATTGTTTTGGTTGAAAATGCTCAAAAACTACTATTTTAAAATTATTATTTTATTTATAAAATATAATTGTTATTTTTGTATGTTAAATGAGATTTAGTAATGAAGAATGTTTAGTGTATGAAGGTTAAAACAGTTGAGAAAGCATTTTTAATACATTTTAATTCAATCAAATTTTAAATTTATTATAACATTGTTTTTTATTTCACAGAAATTTCTTCATAATTATTGGAATAATCCTGATTTAAATTCAGATGAAGTATTTTTGAAAGACTTTTTATTAAATAAAAAATATATGGATAAAGGTGATTTAAAAACATCATTAATTGATGATCCTAATATGGAAGACGAAGAAAATCTTAGTGAAGATGAAAAAATACTTGATCAACAAGAAACATTTGAACATAAATTTAATTTTAGATTTGAAGAACCTGATCCAGAGTTTGTAAGTTTAAAATATAATAGTTTTTTTTATTATTAAGTAAATTTAACTATTCATAAAGTTTTTCACTTACAAATACCAGTGGTGTGCCGTCATTGGAAGTGGTGGAAGTGCCACTTCCCTTGTATTTTCAAAAAAATAAATACATATTAATTTTAATTATATGAAAATAATCGCACAATGTTTTATTATAACTGCATTATGTATCTTATTACAAATTTCTATACTACATGTGAAAAAAAAAAAGATAAGATTGCTATTGTATATTTGAATATTAGTGGTGGAGTGGAAGCGCTGTATTGTCAACTTCCAAACAGCCAGATTTGCACACGCACTTTACAGATCACCAACCTCACCCGGTTTAGCTGGTGGAAGCCTAGGACCTTGGATGGATGCTACACGTATACAGCATCCAGTTCTATCCATGACCAGTTCTGGGCTATTAGCCGCCTGCCCACTAAATATTTGGCCGCCCTCACCCGATTATGTGAATCATGAGTAGATTTATAACTTAACCCGAACGATAATAATTTATTGGTATGATGTTTTTATGATAGTTCTGTTAGTTGATAGGAGTTTAAAAAAATCCATTAAAATATTTGATATTTTTATTCCACTCTCTCATTTTATATTACTTACGGATTTCAATGTTAAACCGGTGATATTACGATTTTGTATGTCCCATCTATAAGGGAATGCAGAAAAATCGTGTACAATTCTTGTACAATGTTAAAAAATTAACTGTTACTTTGGTAGCATAATTTACAACTAAATTTAATGAATGAGATGCACGAGGTACAGAAAAAGCTCTAGAATTTATTTTCCTTAAATTTACGATTTGTATATCCGTTGTCATAAAAATTTGTCTTTCCACTTTTTTTCCCAAGACTACAAATATTCATGTATAAAGTAAACGGTTTCAACTTATTTCTACTTAAGTAGTAGTTAAATAATTAAGCGATTAGGGAATTGGGGACACAAATAAAACCCTACTGAAAGAGCTGGAATTTTACTTAAACAAAAGCTTAACTGAGTACAGTGTGGACTGATTTCTTCGTAATATTAGATGTAATAAAGACAGAAATTTTTCCAGTTCAATGAGAGTGACCGAAAAGTATATTTTGGAAATTTCCGTGGACACCTGTTCCTAAAATGAATTAGAAAACAAATGACTATTAAGTTTAACATATGTATATTTTTACATCTAAGGTGAGAAACGTTTAAAATTTACAACAACCCTGTCGCATCCTTTGAGGTAAACTAGTGATGCGACAAAAGAGGCATTTGACATTAACCAGTATCGGCACCCTCGGGATTTAGCATGCATGCACGCACTGCACACATACCAAGACTGTCTCTGATTCCATTCATGAGCCACTGGTAGGGAGCAATTTTAACTAAGTGGATTGTTTTAATATTTAAAAAGTAAAGAATATTTTATGTTATTTTTATGTACGTTTCTTCACAAAACTTTATTTAATTATAATTTTCTTTAAAAGTATATTCATACAATTGAATATTTTGTACCAGGTATGTATAATTGTATATCGATCACACATTTTATTTTAACAAGTAAGTTTTTATAATTTTATTTTTAATTTTAGCCCTTATATTATGCCTAGTGATTTAGGCTAGGACTCCACTACCGTAAAAACGGCGTAAAATCCCCTCGCCGTAAAAGCTTTTAATCACGTGACCTATTTGCGTTTGCGCTCGGATTACGGTGGAGGTCCGGCTAGCGCGAAGTTTTTACGGCGACGGTGCTGCTCCAAGTGTCGAAAGTAAATACTTCTTCGCACGTGAATTGGTAGAAACGGAAGATGGTTGTTTACGTGATATATCGATATAAAGACAACGATTATATTCTACGAGTATTTTCTGTACTATAATTACAAATGTAGTAAAAATAATATCGTTACTTTCATATACTAACTTTTATTATCGTATTATTAAGATAATATACAGCACTTATAAGCTTAGCTTTTTTATTATATACGCCTCTAAATTGAAGGATTTCCTTTGATATCCATTATTATAATCGAGTTACCTCTTGTCGTAGATACACGAATACTTTCGGATGTTTTCGATATATCTTTCTGGATCTATTCTACAGTAGCCACGAGGGCACGTACACAAAAGCTCGTTTTCCGCCATTTTAGCTTCGTGTTGCGATGACGTAGTTCCACTGACTTCTGATTGGTTGAAGGTACCGTTTTACGGTCGTAATCCTGTCGAAAGTTGAACATAGCTCAACTCGCTTTTACGCTGGTTTTACGGCCTGCTCAAGCGTAAGATATCAGGGTCACGTGGTTAAAAGCTTTTACGTCGAGGGGTTTTTACGTTGTTTTTACGGTAGTGGAGTCCTAGCCTTATAATGTAATTGTGATATTGAAAATTTATTTTTAAAAAGTTTTGGCTCGAGACCATATAATGAAAAAAGAAAACATTATTAAAAGAGAAAGACCAATGCCTAAATTAAGTATAAATACGTCAACAAAAAAATTTGTTCGACATTTTCACAATAAAATTTATGAAGATATAAAATGGCTTTGTGGATGCATAAAAATGCAAAAATTGTTTTCTTGGCCTTGCCTATTATTTTCAAATGAAATTAGTGTGTGGAATAAGAATGGCTTTGACGATTTAAATAATTTTAGTAAAGCTGCAAAAGACACGAAAATCGTAAATCTTGCATCGATTCTTTTGTAAAATTGAAGCAATTTGGAAATCAAAATAGAATAGCATTTAACATTAGTACACAATATAAAAATAAATATTGAAAATTATAACAAGATAGTTATGGCTAATAGATATATTATAATTAAATTAGTAGATGTTATCAAAGCAAGAATTGGCATTTAGAGGGCATAGAATCTATTAAATCTAATATAACAGAGTTAATTATATTGAACTTGCTTATTTATTAAGTGCATNAAAATTTATGAAGATATAAAATGGCTTTGTGGATGCATAAAAATGCAAAAATTGTTTTCTTGGCCTTGCCTATTATTTTCAAATGAAATTAGTGTGTGGAATAAGAATGGCTTTGACGATTTAAATAATTTTAGTAAAGCTGCAAAAGACACGAAAATCGTAAATCTTGCATCGATTCTTTTGTAAAATTGAAGCAATTTGGAAATCAAAATAGAATAGCATTTAACATTAGTACACAATATAAAAATAAATATTGAAAATTATAACAAGATAGTTATGGCTAATAGATATATTATAATTAAATTAGTAGATGTTATCAAAGCAAGAATTGGCATTTAGAGGGCATAGAATCTATTAAATCTAATATAACAGAGTTAATTATATTGAACTTGCTTATTTATTAAGTGCATTAGATAATCTATTAATTAAAAATGCATTTAGAGAAGTCTATGGTTTTTACTGGCTTATCGAACAAACGAATAAAAATGGACTCTAGACCATCGCTGACTGATTGCCCCTGGAAGTTGGCTTCTTACAGAAGCACAGCTTTCCTATCATCAAATGTCACAGCACACCACTGACAAATACTAATCTATAAAAAAGTAAAATACTCCTGTTGCTTTACTAATAAAAAAATCTTAAAATAAATCTAATATTTGCAGGTGAATATAGCATCCATCATGATATTTGAATATATTATTTAATATTTAAGACAAAATTTGGGTTATTTTGTTCAGTAAATTATTATAAATTGAAAAGGATGAAAGTAATGTAGTGCTAACTATCATTAACATTACAACTTCATCTTCTGGCAATTTGTTCTCTTTTCCTGAGGAAGATGAAACAATAATTCTATCAAAAATACTTGCAGATATATCTTTAATTTATATATTTTGTGTACATTTTAAGTTAATTTTGGAAAATGAACGTAGAAAAAAAATAGTTCTTTAATTTTAGATATCATTAGTATTTTAATTTTGTCATAATTTTGAAATGTTTTCAATTTTGTAACTTGATGGTCTAGAAAATGACAATTATTTATTACTACAATGAAATTTTAGATTAGCCTATATGTAATAAAAAATGATTATGATTTATAATTTTTGTCATGCATTGAAATCAAAATATATTAAAGTTGTGAAATGGAGTTTTGTACTGTATTATATTTTATTTCTTCAATTATTACATGTGAAAAAATTACAAATTATGTATGTGTATGTATATATATATAATGATTTAATCATTTTCAGAAGAAATTTGAACATCCTTAAACAGTGTTATTTAAAATTTGAATATTTAATAATAAAATATCAATATTGTTACATAATACTAAACATTGAATACTAGATTGTTGTTTATATAATTTATTACAGTAGAACGTCGTTTATCCGAAGGTCGGTTATCCGAAGGAATTCCAGTCGACAAATTTAAATTTTCGCCAGTGCTGTGGCGCTGCAATCTTTGGCTATGTCTTGGGCAACTCAAATATTTTACATTTTTCATACTAAATTAACTTCTGAAGTATAATTTTTTATTGTTTTTATATTTTTCAATATATTTATTTTGTTTGTACAAAATAAAAAAATAATTTTTAACGATACAATAGTCTTCGTTAGGCTTAACATCGACGAAAATTCAACGCGAAGCNATCTACAGTTGAAAGACATCGATCTGCTTTTCATAGTTTACGTGCCAAATTTAATAGTTTAACACAGTCGAAATATATACATATATATACAAAATATATAGGCCTATATATATATATTTTTTTTTTTCTATTGCATTTAATTGAATTTTGTAAAATAATATTCATCTCAGTATCTGTTCTTAGTGATATGTTTGTTTGTAATTATATGGCATTGAAATTAGCTTAGTTATTAGCTATCTAATCTAAGCAGATTAATTAGAAGTTTGATGAATCTTCAAATGCAACTATTTGAATATTTATATAATAATACAGACAAATTTTGAAATTTGCAAAAAATTAAATTTAATCTAAATATATGTGGAAAGATATTTATAAATTATTAACATAGCAGTCTAATTGTTGTTTAAAAATTGTAAACTAAATAAGTAAAATGGCAAAATCATATTTGGGACAAGACTGTCTCTGAGACAGAATCACTTTGATGCTCCAGGCCCTTCAAATAGGACATCTATTATATTTACCTTTAAATAACGGATGCCATTGTCCATAACCAATATTAATATACTTTAAACTAATAAATTTCTGCATTGAAATGATATTACTGGTGTTATTAAAACAGTAAATTTTATTGTTTTTAATACTGTATTTTTAGTGATTAACACTAAATTAAATGCATTCAGAATGTAAGTATAATTACTAATGTCATTAGTTTTAAAATTTTGACTAATCAAAGGAAAACATTCTTGTTTAAAAACTGAAATTACAAACACACTTTAGTACTATTGCACAAAAACTAATGTTTTTGACAAAATTTAGGCTTTATGTTTCTATATTTATAGCCTTGAAGATGATTATAGATTGAAACAAAAAATATTACTTTATTGAAATAAATTTTACTGAAGAAAGATATGCTTGTGCTTTTTAGTAGATGCTCAAATATTTTAGTAAACAATAAACTTTAACTTTAGGAAATTATACATTATCAAATATAAACAAATAAATAAAAATAAAAAATTATTATTATGTGCTTTCTTACTATTATCAAAGATGTAGCAACCAGTAAAAGTATTGCAGTTTCTTGAATACAGTAAAACTTCCCTAACTTGAAGCTCCAAGGGGCAGGAAAAAAGTTAGAGAACAATAGAGTAAAAAATACCCATTCTGAATAGATTTGTATTTTTACCACAGGTAAAAATACAAATCTATTCAGTAAGGAATCTTTGATAAGTAATCTTTGATAGCTTTTTTTGTTTTAAACAGCCCATGTAATAACTTTCAGCAAAATGTTTAGTGTAACTAATGGAATCGAACAGTTTTGCAGGTACTATACATCTTGTTAAGATAAAGCAAGAGGAAGTTTCACTTTGAACTGGAACATTATCTAAAAATTGGTGTTGGAGAGTAGATACCTCTAACTGTCTGAAAATTTCATGGAATCCAATAATTAGGATCATTTTGGATAGAACATATATTAAAATTTAAGTCAGGGAAGTTGAAAGTAACATAAATCAGTGTCAGGGGACCATGAAAAACTTTGACTTGGAGAAAATTCAAGTTGGAGACACTAAATCCCTATGCTGATTGAGATCTACCAAGTGTTTCGTTTTCTTTGAGTTAATACTCAAGTTACAGACATTTGAGTTGGAGAAGTTTAACTGTATTTAACATAGCTGGCAGTATGCTTTGACAGTTGATGCCTCATGGTGCCAAAACTCAACTTTGATTTGTAGTAAGTAATTGAAAATGAAAAACAAAAATTTTGTTTTAGATAATAAACATATTTAGATTGATGATCTTTTAAATTTTTTCCTGCAAACTTCATTGTCACAGATGGGTTAAATGGCACTATAATTGAAATGGTTTCTTTCTGTACCATTTGTGTCATGAGTATCTGACACAAAAATGATTTTAAAACTACTATAGTTTTCCATGCATATTTTGGTTCAACAATATGTGTAGTTTGTTCTATGTTTAAAAGTTTCAGGTTCAGTTTCAAAACTTTCAGTTTGTAAATGTTTTAGTATTTTTTTCAGAACTTTTATTTTTGCTCTTTGAAAGAAAGTAATTTAAAATAAAAGTTTTATTTTATGCAAAATATTTACAAATTTTTAAAAATACATTTTAGTAACAACTGCAAAATTACTACAATAAATGTATAGAAAAGAAACATATAGGAGTAGTTGTCTAGTATGTAGCAGGCTAAAACAGCCATTAATTTTTTCTCTGGTGCCAGTCACTTCATAAGAAACATTTACTCTTGGCCTTAGTAAAGTTTATATTTCATGACTTGTCTTAAAGTTAAATTTTAGCCCATGCATCTGAATCTAAAGCACCTAGACAAAGCAATGATTTGACCATCAATGGTGCAAATAGCAGCCAACATATTAATATATGAGTATGTATATTAGAGTTACAATACAACTTTTTTATTTTGAAAACAATATTAAAGAATTTCAGTTTTTCTTATTGTTAGTATCAAAGAATTTAAGTTTAGGATTTCTTTTTCAGTAATTCATTTGCATTATATATACATATAAACACAACTTGGATTTAGTTTAAATGTCTAAATCTTTGAAAGATTGTTATAATCTTTGTTTAATTTACAAAATTCTAAAATTGGAATTTGAAATGGAAATGGTATAAAATGTCTTATGCTGAAAAATTACCTGTTTTTCTAATATATAGTATTTACTTCTCAAAATGAAATTATTTTAAAACAAAGACTAAAAATTTTATTATTTTCTCTTTTGGCTTTTCAGAATTCAAATTTATGTTAATGTCATAGAAATTTTAATTTATTAATTATTGAAACTAAAAGATAATTTTCCAAAATTGTCATGTAAACTCACTAATGTAAATGTACTGTACATATACAAAAGTTACTTTATAATATGATATATTTACAATGTTCTATTAATATTTCTAAACATAATTTATGTAAATATATTTTTATACAATATTTATAGAATATTTTACTTTTCATATTTTTGAATTTTTCATTCAATTAAAATTATTTTCAGTTAACTGTGAATTAAATTAATAACAAATTTAAATAAATTTTAGGAAAAACTTAAGAAAAAAGAAGAATTAATGCGTTTGAAAGCTCTTAAACGTAAAGAAATTGAAGAAAAATTAGAGAAATTAAAAGAGATTACTGGAAACTCAAAAATGGCTTTTGAAGATTTGGACTTTGATTCAGATTTTGATCCTGATAAATATGATGAAAACATGCAGGTTAATAAATATTTGAAAATTTTTCTTTTTTTTTTTTCAATCTTTCATATATCTTAATCTTCAAGAATTTATCAACTAAGAATATAAAAAATATTAATCTGTAATAATTTCTACTTTACCTATAGTTTATTTTTGCACTTAAGATTACTTCTGATCATTATTAAATTTATTTCATTAAATTGTTATTTTTGTAATTATAATAATACAAAATATTACTACATTTCTTGAAGCTTTATTAATTTTATTTTATTTTAAAATAAATAAATACAGTAAAACCTACATTAATGGGCACTTCCAAAAAACAGATACCTCTACTTGAAAGACATTTTTACAATCCTCGGGCCCTTCAAATAGGACATCTATTATATTTACCTCTAAATAATGGATGCCATCGTCCATAACCAATCTTATGAAAACACACTGTCATGCCTTCAATATTCCAAAAGAATTAATTACATACGAAATATTTTAAAATAAAAACAAAGAATTGGTTCAAATTCTCTTTTAGATGACAAATTTTGACCATAGGCATCAAATAAAGACTGACTTAAAATTGGAATAGGGGAGAAGGGTGGGTATGAGAATTGGAACAATATTCTTTATCTGTTAGAGAAGTTTAGCCTGGTTAAGTTGTCAATCAACATTTATTGTTATACATATTGATGTTATACTTCTATCTTCTTGTTGTAATTAAGCTTATGATACCAAAAAACTATAAACTTTTCTGAAGTTATTCATTCATTCAATAAGAACCGTAGTATAGTAGTAATGAAAAAGAAACTTAAGATCATAAATTTGAGAATACCGAATATCTTCCACACTTTAAACTGGTTGGCAAATTGCCTTCATAGCATGATCTTTGAACTTTCACCAAACAAACTCTGTTGTCATAACTGTTTTAAGAGCTTTATGTGGCTAAAATGTAATTCTTAATAAATCAGTTACTGAAAAAAGCAAAATTGTTCAAAAACATACTTGATAACCCTGAATTGATTTTTATTAGTTGCTTAGATCATAAATGACATTATAAATTAAAAATTCTGAATATATTTACCACCCCTTGAAGTGGATAGCAAATCACCTTAGTAGGGAGTTGAGGCTGAAGTTCAAACTTTAAACTTGTATGGCAAACAGAAGTACATGTTTGACATTTGAACTCCAAGTAAAACACGTTGTGCCACATGTTCATGTCGCACACTGATTCATTGGATATTGTTGAAAAATGGCAGAAACGTTTAAGAACGACGAAGATTACCAGCATATATAAATAAACAAATTAAACTATTGAAAAATATTTAGAGGATGTTTAATAATACTAAATAATTATTTTTGACTTTAATTAGCATCGTGTCTCCTCCTGTATGATATAATAGTAAGACAATTTCAATGTGTTTTGCTTGTTCTCATGACATACTTTTGTTGAGGGAAGTAGTGATTTATATAAATCTGAAAGCAGCTCAGAAAGTTATTTTTAGAAATCTACAAACGTATTATGCTATTGATGGTAGAAGATGCTGTGAAAGAACGAACCTACTTCTACAGAATTATTATAAGGTATTATGAACACAAATATATAAAAATTCAATAGGCACTTCAAATCACTTGCAAAAAAATTGAATAATTAAATAATTTCTGTATTAAAATCGTCTGTTTCTTTACAATGTTATTCACAAATGCTTAAATAATCATTATTTTAATAAAATACATAATTTTAACTCAAAACACAGAAAAATGCAGATGTTTCATCCAAACTTCTACTCTCCATGCTCAACATTTCAAATGCCATTGTCAAACTTTAGGATTACACTCAACATTTAACGTTAATGTTTTAGAGATGAAAACTTCAGTCGCAACCTCTCTAGTAACTTGACATTTGAATGAGATTCAATTAAAACAAGATTTTTACAGCTGATAAATAAGTAATATATTGTGTATATACAGGTAGTCCCCGTTTAACACGGGAGTTACATTCCAAAAAATTGCCGTGTTATGCGAATTTGTGTTATACGAAACAAAGAACTAGTGTGAAAAGGGGGATTGGGTTCCAAAAATTAAAAAAACATGCTGTTAAATCCTTATTTAAATCAGATTTATTATTATTTTTTTTTTTCATAGGTAAAATACTTACTTATTATTTAATTAAGTAAATAATCCTCTGGTAAAATACTTACTTATTATTTAAGTAAATATTTTACCAGAGGATTATTCATCCTATATGATGATCTCAGCTTGAGCATCATTAACTGGTAATAGTTTTTGGGTGCGTTCATTAATAGTGATCGCTCTTCAACAGGAGTGCGCTGCTGTTTGTAGGCATTTAAGAACAACGGTGAAAGAAATATGGTGGCACCCGCATTATCAATAGTATCATGATGGAGGAATCTATAATTCTAAATTGAGCTTTTAGAGGCAAAAGAAGGGTCCCAATTGTAAAATTTAACCATTAAATGGATTATTTGTTGAAAGAGCATTCAAAGTAGTCACAAAAACAATTAGAATGCTCGCATGGAGATATAAAAGAACGCACCCTTTATTACATTTCATGTTGTATGAGGGTTTTACCCAATTCCCAAACCATGTTAGAGTGAATCCATGCTATAGAAGTGCCATATTATACGGAGGTTACCTGTATTTTAATTATATATGCTACGTATACTTTTTGGTATATTCACATTCCTAACGCAAATTTGATGTTTACATAATCCATCATATTCTTCACTACAGTCGATTCCCCTATAACACGGTAGATACGTTCCAGTTTTTATGAAATCCATTTTCTACAAGCCCTTAAATACATGAGCCAATCACAGCCCAGCACATATGCAGTTTACAGACTACAGCTGTTTGAAAGGTTTTCTTCCATAAAATTAATCGATTCTAGACTAATTCGACTCAACATTTCCAAACCACGTATAATTTTTTGGGACTAATCCATATAAACTATGCTATAAACAAAAACTTGTAGGATTACTTACCGAGTGTGCACCGTTTGACGACGCCATTATTTAAGCTTGTTTTCATCGTGGAGCGGTGCATCGAATGGCACTTGCGTGCTTCCTGATAAATTATTTTTCTGCGAAAACTTTGCTGAACTTTGGAGACATCATTAAGATAAATATAATTTTTATGGACATTAAATAATAAATGGTTTTTAGTAGGTCCGCTGCTCGTTTAAACTCAATGGTTTGTACAATATCTGCTATTGGTCTAGATTCGACCAAGCCTGTCGCGACACGAGTCGGCAATGACGTTTTACTGAATTATACGAGTCTCTTTTAGCGTGTTTATATGAATACGGTCACAATTTTTTCACCATCATATAGGAATTCAAACTATATGAACCCATTTTATAGGGGGGTCTATTGTATATGATGACAAGGTTATGTGGTATATCTGCCAACATATATCTCCAAATAATGGACACTAGGGTTTCTGAAACGGGATTCCGGGATCCCGGTTGTTTTTTTAACCTGGGAAATTTTTCTTATCCCGGGAAATCCCGCAAATTTTTTAAAAATTCACTTTTTTTCTTATTTTGTGTTAAGGTTGAGGAGTTTTGCAAATAGAAAGCATAATTAACTCATTCACTGCCAGAATACATTTGTATTTATTAATTTTAAACCTACCTATTAGTTTTTTTAAATTTTTGCTCGTTATAGCATGTCACAAATGGTCAATAATCAATATATAGCTTATTTGTGGCATGACTATAAAAATTCTTTACTTGTCGGAACCTGTAATATCTGGAATAATTGTGCTTACGCTGTCTTGAGTTTTAACCATGCCCA